GCACGCGGGGGAGGTCTGGCGCGAGCGCAGCGGAGGGGCGGGCCGAGGGACTCTGTGGGCGGAGCCGAGCGGCGCTGGAGCGGCAAAAGGCCGCATGGCCCGCGCGGGTGGAATGTAAACACTGCAGGCGGCGCGGGTTCGGGCCGGGGCCGGGGTCTGGCAGGGGTCGCGCAGAGCGACGCGGGAGGACCCGCCGTCCGTCGGTCTGCCGCGCGCGCGCTCTGTCCCTCCTTGCACGTCCTCCCCGCCCCTGAGACGCAGGGTTCCGGGCTGTGAGTCGGGGCGGGATGTGCCTAAGGTCACAGCGCCTAGTCGCTGGCCTACAACCAGTGCCACTGGCAGCCGCCTGGGTCTGGAGAGCCGGTGGAACGGTGGTTGTTTCTGGACGTGCGTCCGCCCATCCATCCAAGCGTGCACTCATTCATTCAAGGAACAGCCCACCCCCTTTCCTGTGTGCCCCTCCCCCACAAACTTTTCCGGGGCATCAGAAGACTGAGCCGGTTTGGACCTTGGGATTCCAGGCACCCCCCTCTAGCTGAAAGCCTTCAGAGTGACTCACGTCAGACTCAGGGTCAAATTCGCACTCCCTGTCCTGGCGTACAGGGCTCCACAGGAACTGGCCTTTATATCCTCTCAGACCTACCCTCCACGGCCTCCACTCTCAGCTCGTCACCACTGTCTGTCCTTTCTCACCTCAGGGCTTTGGAGCTTGTGCCCTGCGATGACCCCCTCGGGCGGCTCTTCCTTTCTTAGAACTTCAAGCTCTTCAGTGACCACTTAATCTGGAGCACCCTACTCCCCAGGACTTTGTCTCCACCTCATTGCCCTGCTGTGTTTCCTCCACAGAACTTGCCACAAGAAGACTCTTGCTCCTTCATTTCCTTGTTCGGTGTCCCTCTCCCTACCTTGTCTGTCTTGGTCACTGCTGTATCCCCCAGCTCTTGGCATAGTGCCTGGGGGAAGGGAGTGAATTCTTGAAAAACATACACCGACCAAGCCCTTGTGGACCTTACAGGCTAGTGAGACAGATATGGAACAAGTGTCACTTGGAAGTGCCTTTTCTACTAAACTTGCAGAAGAAGCATGTAGTAGAGGGCTCCCAAACACTCCCAAGACCTTCCGTGATGAACAGTCTCAGTTTTGTCCCCCGCCCACCAATATAACAGTCTTCCTGAAGTGAGAGCCTGGGACTTATTGAAGAGTATGCCTTGTGTCATCCCCAGAGGTCCCTGTTAGCAGATGTGACCTTCCAGAGGCTCTGAGGTCAAGGCTGCTGAGATGACTTGCTCAGGTTGTCTTAGGGAGGCGTGGAACCCAGGTTACTGAACTCCCAGCCCTGTGGCCTTTAGTAATAACAATAAGAGGAACCATAAACAGTGTTTCCAAAATGGCAGCTTTGGGCTAAGTCCTTCAGAGTATTCGTCAGTTCAGCTTCACGATAATCCTATCATGTTGATACTACGATGGTCCTATTTCAAAGGTGGCAACTATCTACTTTTTAGGGTGATTGTGAGGATTAAGTGAGGTAATTTAGACTTAGTACAGTGCTTGGCACATGCTAAGCGCTCAATCAATGAGATATATATGACAATGATAGACAATATGTCAATATACAGATATCAATATATATCATTGTTATCAATGATAGACAAGACAGAGTTTTCCTTGGTGGTAATAGCAGCTTATACTCCAACCAACAAAGAATGAGAGTTCCAGATGTTCTGTATCCTAGCTGACACGTTCATCAACAGTACAGTGGATACAGAAATTTGGTATATTCATTCAATGGAATCCTGCACAATACAAAGGACAAACCATTGAAACATGCAGCAAAATGAATAAATTTCACAGACATACTGGGGAGCACAAGAAGCCAGACACAGAAAAGTGTTACTATGTCATTCCATTTATCTGAAGTTTCAGAAAAGGCAGAACTATAATGACCGTGGTCAGAACAGCAGTTACTTCTAGGGTAGGGTTAATAACTGGGAGGGAACCAAGGGAACTTCTGAGCACTACCTGTGTTTTATATCTTGATCAGAGTACATAGTTGTGTACATAAACATTCATTGAGCTCTACACTTATGATTTATGCACTCTACTGAGTATATGTTATATTTCAAAAAATATATAAGAATTGTTTTTCAAAAAAAACCATTTAAAACAAAGTAAGACTTTAGTAATCCCTGCCCACTTGGGAATTTCTAGTTTGGAAGGGAGGCAGCGAGGTAGATTGACAATTGTGGTACAGAGTGCTAAGGGCTGGGATGGGAAACCTCCGGGGACTAGAACTTCACATGGAGTGGTGGCAGGAGAGGGCATCCAAACCACTCTTGGATGTCAAGAAGGCTGCATGGTGGAAGCATCATCTAGGCCAGAAGGATGAATGGGTTTGGCAGAGGCAACAGAAAAGATATGTCTGTGGAAACAGGCTGCAGCAAGGCTTGGAATCTCTGGAAGTTACTGATCGCCACTTGTCTGGGGTAGCTCAACTTTGGTTGTTTGGTTTCATTTCATTATATGCCTGCCTGCATCAGGGTCAGAGTCCAAACATTGGCTCAGCCTTGAGGAAGACTGTAGATTGAACTAGAAAACCAGCTGCTGGGTAGGGAGGGTATCACCTTCTCTCCACAATGAAACTTCGGGAAAGTTCCTTAACCTCTTTGTACCTCAATTTCCTCATCTGTAAAATGGGAGTGATTCTAATTATCCTAACCTCCAGGGTTGCTGTGAGGAGTAAATGTATTAATCCCCATAATGCATTTGCAACAGTATCTAGCACATAGTAAGTGTTCAACCTGTATTAACAGTCATTATTATTTATAAAGAAATTCGGGGGCATTTGCGTAGCTTCATACATGGTAAGAACAGCAGCCAGAATAGAAGGATCAAGAAGAAGTAAGTCCTTCCCAGATAAGGTTCCTTAACCTGAGGCCCCCTCATTTTACAGATGAGGAAACTGAGGTACAAAGAGGTCTTCAGTGGCCCAGGAAACTGCCTGCTGACAGTGTTGGCCCATTGTGTGCACTTGGGCCCCTGGTACAGAACGTTTAGCAATTCCTTAAAGGCACCTGTAGAAAGGTAAGGCGTGCTGGCGGGTGTTGATCAGGGAAGGTGTGGGCTGTGACCGGAAGCCGAGCTGGCACGGGCCTTACTATCAGGCAGAGCTGAGCACCTGTGGCTGCTTGGCTGAGCCAAAGGAGGTGGTGGAGGGGCATCTCGTGAGGCTACACACAGGAATCCCAGAAGAAGAGGGGCCAAACTGGCTGTACCAGTGTGAGCTGTGAGGTAGGGGCCAGGCAGGACCCAGTGCCAGGGAACCTGAGTGTGGGAAGGCCCCGGGGGCTTGGCTCCTGTCCTCTCTCAGCCGTGGAAATCTGTTTGCACAGGCTTGCCAGGTCAGCCCAAGTCCGGGGCCCCAGTGCATGCTCCCCAAATTGTGGTTCAGGACAAGCTCACACTGCTATGGACTCCAAGGGGGAGACTGGCAAACTAATGGGTGGTCCCATAACCCTCTCCTACTCTGGGTAGCAAGTGCAGTCATACTTCTTCAGACAGAAGGCTGTGATCAGTTTAGAAATCCCAATGAAAATTAGAATTGACCTTTAAACTTAATATACGATAGAGCAATGGTGGCAGCTGACATTTATGGATTCTGTGCTAAGCTCAGGGATCCCAAGGACAGACACTCATTTGAAGACACTTCAGGGACCTGGAGTGTCTGATCAGGTTGGGGGTGCGGGGGTCGGTTATGCAGCAACAAGCCCTGTTCTCCTTCAGCATGAGCTAAGACACAAGTGTTCTTTGTTCTGTGTCTGACCACCGTACTCCCAGCTTTCACTTAAACCTCCCCATCTCAGCATCTCCCTTGTGGGATATTTTCCTCCAGGCACTATCCTCTGCACTTTGATGGGGAGGGAGGCTTGGCCAATCAGAGAACCACATTCCTGACCATGTGATTGGTTCAGGGGTGGGCACATGACCTAAGCTGGACCAATAAATATCTCCTGGAGTTGCTAAGCTGACCCGAAACACTTCCGGTGGTCTGGAACCAGGAGGCCATCTTGCCACTCCGGGTGACCTTCCTTAGAGAGGGCGTCCTGGGAGTTGAGGGCAACAGCACCAGAGGTAAGGGGAGGCAGTCTTCTGACTCATCAAGCTCCTGGGTCCAGTCCAGCCCAAGACCAGGCTACTAAGAACTTTCCAGATGCTGGAGCCAACTATTTTCATGTATTTAGCCTGTTGAGGTTGGGTCCCCTGTCATTGGCAACAAGGAGAGTCTTGTCATGCGTGCGTGGAAGGGTGATGGGCTGTCCCACTCCGTCCATTTGTGCCCACCAGAGAGCCTCCCAGTGCATGCTTAGACCCACCAGGCCTTCTCCGTAAGGTCGTAAATCCACACAGGCATGGCTGGCGGGCCCATGGCTCTCCGGGTGCCAGGCCTGGCTCTTTGTCTCAATTCCCCAGGAATCCTG